ATAAAATCCAAATGATCTACATCAATTACAGCTCACCTTTTGTAAGGCTCAAACTTGATATTTTAAAACATTTTAGTTATCACTTTGCTTCAAAATGGACAATGTACCTGTGATTAAAATACTACCTCCCTTTCATGAAGATATTTGAGGTCTAAAAAGCTTGATCCCCTACTTAAAATTGGCTTTATTTCGTTAGTTTTTTAAAGATTTCATGTCCAAATGTACTTTATTTTTTCCCAAATCTTGTTTTCTCTGTATTCCTAGAGTGAAATGTATGTATACTTTTATTTTTCCCCAAATCTTGTTCTGTATGACTTGAAAAGTGCTGCCACCTGCTGGCCATTAGTATATAACTACATGAACAGTTTGGGATCCTTGAGGAAAAGAACTAAACCACACGCATTCTCCTAGAAGCCATTTAAATTACAGTAGAGTACACTTGCCTTTTAGAGTTGACCTTTAAACTGTAACGCTCATCTCTCTTTTTTCTCTTTTTTTCTTTTCTCAGATGAAGCCAACATGACTCAAGTATTAGACAATGTTGACTTGTAGGTTAAAAAAATAAATAAATATTTGCTGCCCCCTGCTGTTCAAGTTCGTTGGTATTTCTGATATTCTGAAACTAAAAACAATGAACGTTTTTTCATTCAATGAATGAATATAAGCCATACTATGCACCTATAACCATGCTCTATGCAAGAGGACTAGGATACAAAACTGACCAATGTGACAAAGAAAAATGAAGAATTTCAAGGCAAAATTACATGAAAATCTGTTTCAAAGTGTCCTCAGGATCCATCAGATCAGTTGTATAAAATCTGTGATGCCTGGGCTGAATAAAAGTCTGAGGAAGAGAGAGAAAGAAATGGAAGCAGAGAACAGGCAAGGAGAGGGAGGGAGAGGAGAGTGGTCAGGCACAGTGAACGCAGTCTATGTAATACAGTCCTCACAGCGTGGAGAGAATGTTGCTTGCTCTCTATTTTAAGTCCATTATAAGCACAAAACTTTTAAATAAAGAGCTAAATGAATTTAACAGGAGTGTGTTCCTTTTGGAGCAAGATTTGTATTAATGTTTTAACTTAATTCTGGCAATTATTGTTAGATGGTCCAGAATAAAATTTTGCATCTAGTACAAAGATCTCTGGGGAGGCCTATGTAACTGAGTAACCCCCCTCTTTGTTTCTCTTAGCGCTGTTCCTTTTGACCAGCAAGAGAGATTTTCATAGATTGATCAGAAGCTGCCTCAGTGATCGCCAATACTTCATACCTACCTTCCAACTCAGCCACTTGGAACATGTGGCAATAACACAGAAGTGCCATATCTCCAAGAAATATTAGCCCTTGGCTTAATACTTGACACTTACCTCTCCTTTTCTCCTCCCTCCCTCCTTTATCTAGCTGACTAGGATGTGTGTTTTAAGAACCTAATCATAGATAACTTCCTCTGGAAGTTTTTCGTGAATCTCCCTAAGCCACCAATTTGATTAAGAACTCCTCTCTTCTATTTTGCCTCAGCATTTAATAAATATATTTTCCACTACACTCTGTGAAATGGTTGTTTAATCATTAATAAGCTCCTCTACAATGTCAACATCCGTTCCATCTCCTTGACTTTACTGAAACCTTGTCACTCACTATTTCTCGCCACAGGCCTCATGGGGAGGTTGATATACCTCCCCACATATGAGGGGACTGTGGTAAACGGCATTCTCCTGCTTCCTCACTGCCAATTCCAAATGGTTTGCTTCTATGACCTCCATAAAACTATGACTATAGTAAGGCCCCTACCATCTTTGTGGCATCTCTGACCATCCTTATGGCTCTGATTCGCCAGCCTTCCTGGCAATTGGTTCCTGGCTGACCACTGTCCTCTTACCCCAAACCCTGTCATTGTCCCAGAAGATGCAGTGTGAATGCAGAAAACACACACACAGATAAAAAACAACTTTCACCCTATCTGATTATCTTATTCAGTTGTTCACTTCCTGGATCTTGCCAGAATTTGGGGCTACAATTCTTCTAAACCTTGAGCTGCCATATTGCCCTCCAGGACCTTTCTTCCTTCCACCTTCCACACCTCTTCATCTTACCATCACTGCTCTTAGATTTCCTTGAGACTTCTTCACTTTCATCGATCACTCCACTCCTTCCTGGCTTCTTTTTTCTCTATAAGGTTGGACTCCTATAGATGATAATATAAACTCACTTCCCAAACGCCTTCATTCCTAGAACCCCTATCTAATTGGCAAATAGGGGCCCATCAGGGAAAATTATAAAGGGGTTCAGAACAAGCTTCCCCAAGATGTGCTGCTTTGGCATGTGGATTATTTTGAGCTGAAGTCAATAGAGACCCTGTGCTCAAGAGAAACCTCTGACCCCACCTTAAATACCTAGAAAATTTAAATTAGGGGCCTGGACCATATAAGAGTTATTACCAGAGATAAATTTTTTCTTATCAAACTATTAATTATCCTCCTCTGATTGTCCAAGCCTCTTACCTCATTCCTTGGCTCAGGATGTCATATATACCTTATTTTACTTTCCTATCTCTGAATCTCTCATATATGTGGGGTTCCCATATAGAAGCATATAATGAAATTTGGTTATTTTAGCTTGTTAACATGTTTCATGTGTATTTAATTATTAGACCAGCCATAAAACCTAGAAGGGTAGAATAAAATTTCTTTCTTCCCAACAATTATATATACTCTTGCAGATGGGTACCATTTCAAGTTCATGGTTCCTAATCTGACATGGTTCTACAACCATGCCAAAAATTTGCCGTCTATCCTTAAACCCCCAACCCCACTTTGTTGAAAATATTAGGCTATGAGGAGTGATGTCCTATAGGTTCAATAAAACCTACTCTTAAATTTATCTAGATCCCCCATTCTTACCTTATTCCTTCCAGACCCATGTCTCTGTCCTCTGATTTAGGACTATGCCCCCTACCAGTATTTCTGATGCCATCCTTCTGGAACTCTTTGGGATCTTGCCCCATTAGTCTTCCTATCCTATTAGTATCTTCCAGTTTTTCTTCCTTGTGAACTTCCCCCTCTGCTTACAAATGTATTAAAAACATTAACTTCCTCTCTTCTTATCATGTTCCAATGTCTGCTCCCTTTTCATCCAAACTTCTTCAAACAGGTATCTCTTTTCCTCACCTCCAGACTGGGCTTCCTGCTCTTCAGTCTGGCCAGAGTTTCCACTCTTGGTAAAATAAGCAACGTATTTTGTTTTTATATTTACGATTCTGGAGTTGAGGGCTCTGTACGTATAAGGAAGTGTTTAAAAGCTATTTGGTTTTAAAATTGACGTTCAACTTATTAAGGTCACAAAATTGAAAACGAGCCTTTTTAAGTATTTAATTTCAACTTATAAATTTTGCTATTCTATTTCTAAATTGAGTACAATGAGAAATATCATGACTTTTTCATTGATTATTGGACTAATATTTTTATACTAAACAGAGTAATTTCCCTCAGTCCTCCTTTGTAATTATAGTTAATTAAATATTTTAGGCATTTTTCAAAATTTTAACACATTTTCTTTCATTTTTAAGTATTTCAAATTCCTGACAAGACAAATTTACAACACCTATAAGCACAATATTTCCCAGAACTCAAATATTTTTGAAAAAGAATTATTTGTATACTTACAGAATTATCTATATTATTCAGAAATATAGCAAATATTTTTTCCCACAGTTTATTATTGTCAGGCCAGAAGGGAATGCAAGGACTTCAATAATAGCAGCTGTTTTTATACCCAGACACTTCCCAACTCTATATATCCATCCCATCAGAAAAATTATTACTTTTGCACTATGGTTTCAAGAACCATTGAGCTAGCTCTTAATTTATAACCAGCTACTCACAAAGGCTCATCTAGCATTCTTTAAGTTCTTCCAAAACAGAATATAGATCATAGATAATCCTACCTGAGATTATTTCTTAGGAAATCTGATTATCTGATAATTGTTGTCAAAAGCAGCATGGTCACCAGTAATGAGTCAAAGCACTCAACCAGTTTGATGGGACAGCTCCAGGGTGTGCCAACACAAAGGGGAACCAACTATCATGACAGAAAACCATATATTTATGTAAATCACTGTATAAATGTTTTCTAAAAACATTTACTGTGGACTCTTGCCATTTGAACTGTAAATGACCGTATCTGAAGTAAAGTGATTAAGCCATTAGTTTATTCTGGGCATCTTGAACCTACAAAAACCTTCTTCCCCTTGAAGCCACTGACACTGATTCAGGAATACATTTGGCACCCCTTGCCTCTGATCATGACTCCCCTCCTTACGTCCTACGTGTCCAACTCCCATATCTCTGCACTTAAATGTACCAGTCAATTATGACACTGTGTGTGTGTGTGTGTGTGTGTGTGTGTGTGTGTGTGTGTGTTGGAGTTAACCAGCCAATGTGAAATGATGAGGACAGGAGTTTGGATTCTGAATCTGGGTGCATTGGATGTTGCCCTGGGTGGGAGGAGTTACAGATGGTCCTGGCACTGTTGAGTCGGGATAGGAGATAGGCACTGCCTCGTCCGCTTAAAAGCCTTTCTTCAAATTGTAGACGAGTAAGCCATAGTTTACTCCCTCCTGGTGACGGGATACACCCTTCAGAGAGAACTGGAAGGCAGACCAGACAGATTTCACAGATGAGGGAGCTAATAGTTGGCAGAGCGGAGAGTGCTGCTCTTCCTTGTAGGGATCTTGTTAAAGTTAATGGAGGTAAAGCGCAGGGCACAAAATCTAGAACCATACAAACTTCAATAAAGAGTCTCCATTATTATTATCATGAACCCGTTAGTTTTAATTGGGGGTGGAGAAAACAAACACACCAACGAGAACCAGAAAGGTCTGCAAAGGGGCGGGCCGTGGGAACCTGGAATTAAGGAGGAGGGGAGATCCCACGCCCGCAGCCAATCCAGCTGTTCCGGGGAGGAAGAGGAGGGGCCAGAGCTGCTCCGCAACCTGCACAGTTCAGACCCGCGCTGCACGCTCAATCCCGACTCCACCGCCTCCTACCAGCGGAGAAATGGCCTCAGGTGCCACCCCCACAGCTGTGAAGGTGAGATTAGCTGTTCCAGGGGCTACGGTCCCCACTACGGCTGCTCCCTTGCTCTCGCCGCGGGGAACCGCGCCACGGGGCAGTGCGCCCCCGCCGCAGCGGGAAAGATCTAGGAAACGGACCCTCGGACCGGTTCGCTCAGGGATGGGGAGCGGGGCGTGGGGCAAGAGGGAATGCTTGCAAACTCGCCTCCTCCACCCTTGGTCTGTGCTGTACCCTCACCGCGCAGGACGTGGGCCACGTCCTCTTGGAGAAAGGCTGTGGGCCAGAGTTCCTCCCGCCCTCTAGCCTTTACCAATCACTGCTCCTTTCTGGGGAGATGGGTTCGGCTCGGGCAGCAGCGTGCTTGCAGCTAGTGAGACCGTCTCCGCGTGCTCCGCTGGACTCACGCTTCCGCTCTGATTCTTACTGCCCGCGGCTCCTGTGGGCGGGCTGCGTGCCTACTCTTTTTCAAGCTTCCGGCTCTTTTTCTTGCAAATGTAGGACTTCCCCTGAAGTTTTCCCCTCCAGCAGTGCTTCAGGCATTTTGAGACTTTTGCAGCATAGAAATGGAGGACAGGGCAGCTTCCAGTTTGTAGGCCTCTTGCTTTAAACTGCTTTGTTTGCAATCTTGAAAGTTAAGAGATCAGTTTTGTTGTCCTCACTGACTTAAGAGATCTTGGTACAGACGGTCTTCTTGTGGTGGGATCTTAACCAGAAGAGAGCACGAGTTCTGAAGCGTGCCTAGAGCCTCCCTGAGGCCTTTAAAACACTTCTTTCCTGGTTGGTGTCCCCCAGAGAGAGTGTGGAAATACAGTGCAGAAGGAAAGACTGATAAAACATAAGAAATCATCTCGGCTCTTTATGACTTGATACGAAGTCAGTTACCTTGAGAAATTCTTGTCCGATAGGATAGGAAGGGAGGCCCGCAGCCTCATCCAAGTTGTCTTGCTTCCGCCCGGGAGAAGGCAAATCTCTGCGGTCTGCGTGAAATCAGGCAGTGATTATTAGTCCCTTGCAGCTTTCAATGAGAGAGTTATGAAAGGGAGTGGGGTGGGGAGTGTTGCAGTCACACTTAAAATACTAAACTCCTTTTGCCATTTTGAAAAGAATTTTGCGTTCAAAAATGTTTGTAGAACGCTTCTCCCTTACCGGTTATGGAGAACAAAGCAGAAATTTTATAAAACTCATGTGCAAAGGGAGTTCCTTAGATGCCCATCCATAAAGTGGGGATTTTACTGGAGGCTTTGCTGGGGCCTTTAGAATTGTATATAGTCTGTCTAGCGCATGGCTGAAACACTCAGTGGTAGTGTGTTTAAGTGGGGGAGCTGAGATTAATTTTGAATATATTTTCTCCAACAGTTACATTATGATGATAGGTATCGTGGCCACCGTGTTCAGTGGGCAAACAAGAAACTCTAACCTTTACACTTAATATTACACTTAGAGTAACATTAAAAACAGAGAGGAATGGTATTTAAAACAGTCCCATTTTAATCTGGCTCCTCATTCTCCCTGCAACACAGTTTTCCTGTAAAGTCAGTGTGATGTATTTAAGTGGAGAGTGGGCACTGCCTGGGCACTGTCATTGGAGCCTGATGTAAATATTGAATGATACATATTTTTGGTCTTGGCAAGCTGCTGAAGATCAAATTAAGAAGTACGGATACTGCTAGGCCTGCCTGCTGCTGTCTGTCTTTGAGGTTAGAATGGTAATGCCTTTGCTGCTGAGAATCCATGATGCCAACACCAACTTTCCCAGGCTGCTAAGGCAACATCCTGTATAGGGAACAGGAGGTGCTAGTGTCCAGAATAAAATAGGCTAACAAAAACCACATCCTGTCCCCAGACCATGGAATCTAGAGCTGGAATGTTCTTGAAGACCAGGAACACAAACCCCTTTTTGTGGATATGAAACTGAGTCCCGGAAAGGTCAACTAAGGTGTCTAGCATTATACAGTCAGATCTAGATAGTGACCAAATGGGGCCTCATGCCCGGCCGTCCACCAAGTAGATGTTATGAGGCATTTCTAATCTGACATGTGGTCTCTGTGCACTGTTTTAATGTGAGTAAAGCCTTAAGGAAGAGTGAGTGTAGAATGAATGCATACAGCCAGCTGCCTCCCTGTGCCTACTGGATGCTCTCCCTTGGCACTAACAACAGCCACGGTCTGGGAGAACCTCCAGCGTCAGCCATGGGCAGGTGGTATGCTTGACCATGCGGAGGGCTAAATAGGTCATTGGGTCTAGACAGGGCATTCTGGAGACCTCCTTCAACGGAGCCAATTATGTATGGCTCTCCCAGGCAGCTTCCCAGCTTTTACTCTGGAGGAGTAAAAATAAGTCTTTTTTTAATCATGTTTGTTGTGACAGAGAGGGGATATGGCCCAATTATAGGTGGGTAGTGGGCTGTTAACAAAATGGTACTGAGGGGGATGGGCACATCTTGGAGTCTAGATTGTGAAGAATGGGCCCTTTATGCACACCTCTTAGCAGTCTGAATGTAGTTGGCAAAGGCCTTCAGACTGGAAGTCCTTGAGTGATCTTTAGAAACTGGGGGACAACCAGTTGCCCCAGTTGAAATGACCACCGTGCCTTTATTTTTTGCCTAGGGACAAGATAGCATTTTGGTCAGGACAAATCTTCCTGTTGTAGGACTGTACTGAGCACTGCAGAACATAGAGCACATCCTTAGCTCTGCACCCCCCACCCCAACCCCCACCTCCACACACATATAATATGCCGGTAGCACTCCTTCAGATCATTTTGGCAGCCAGAAATGTCTCCATGGGTTTCCAGACACCCCTAGGAGGGCGAGTTCACACTTGGTTGAGGGATCCTGGGCTAGGTCCCTGAGGCAGAGACTGCCTGGTAAGGAGATGTAGGAGCAACCAGGTTTGTGTCCTGACTAGCAGAGACAAAAAAAATTAAAGGACTTTTCTGTTTTTTGCTTTGAAGAAGTTTATTTTGATCTTGCTTGTTTTTGCTTAAGGTAGAAGGGTATACAGGGATAATGACAGACAATAATGCATTATTGCATTTGATTCTTGTAATTCTAGTTTTTTGTTGTTGTTGTTGTTTTTAAGATTTATTTATTTATTTATTTTTAGAGAGAGGGGAAGAGAGGGAGAGAAGCATCAATGTGTGGTTGCCTCTTGCACACTCCTAACTGGGGACCTGGCCCCCAAACGCAGGCATATGACCTGACTGGGAATAGAACCAGCAATCCTTTGGTTCATAGGCTGGCACTGAGTCTACTGAGCCACACCAGCCAGGGCATGATTCTCACAATTCTTGATTTCTTTTTTGTTTTCCATTTAATTTATTTTCTTTATTTTTTCACATACATCTGTCTCTGCCTTTGTCCCACCACCTTCCCCTGCCCCCTCCTCCCCCCTCAATCCTTCCCCTTTGGTTTTGTCCATGAGACCTTGCTATACATTCCCTGGCCCTCCCATTCCCTTCCTTTTCCCCGTCCCCCCCACCCCCACTCCCTCCATCCCTCTTGTCTCTATTCGTTTCTTTTCCTTTCAGTGTTGCTGGTCTTATTTTCCTTGCATCTTTGTATGTTGGTTAGGTTCCGCTTATAGGTGAGATCATATGGTATTTGTCTTTTGCCCCCTGGCTCATTTCGCTTAGCATAATGCTCTCCAGTTCCATCCATGCTGTCGCGAAGTGTAGTAGTTCTTTTTTCTCTTTCTGCTGCATAGTATTCCACTGTGTAATGTACCATAGTTTTTTGATCCACTCATCTACTGATGGGCATTTAGGTTGCTTCCAACACTTGGCTATTGTAAATTGTGCTGCTATGAACATTGGGGTGCATAGGTTCTTTTGAATATGCGTTTTGGAATTCTTAGGGTATAGTCCCAGCAGGGGAATCACTGGATCAAAAGGCAGTTCCATTTTCAGCTTTTTGAGGAAATTCCACACTGCTTTCCACAATGGCTGCACCAGTCTGCATTCCCACCAACAGTGTACTAGGGTTCCCTTTTCTCCACAGCCTCGCCAGCACCTGTTGTTTGTGGATCTGTTTATGATGGCCATTCTGACCAGTGTGAGGTGGTACATCATTGTGGTCTTGATCTGCATTTCTCTGATGGCTAGTGATGCCGAGCATCCTTTCAAATGTCTCTGGGCCCTCTGTATCTCCTCCTTGGAAAAGCGTCTGCCCAGGTCCTTTGCCCATTTTTTGATTGGATTGTTTGTCTTCTTGGAGTGGATTAGAGTGAGTTCTTTATACATCTTGGAGATCAAACCTCTATCTGATGTATCATTAGCAAATATATTTTCCCATAGGGTTGGCTCCCTTTTCATTTTGCTGATGTTTTCTTTCGCCATGCAGACGCTTCTTATTTTGATGAGGTCCCACTTGCTTATTCTTTCCTTTATGTCCCTTGCTTTAGGAGATATATCAGTGAAAAAATTGCTGTGTGGGATATCTGAGAGTTTCCTGCCAATGTTCTCCTCTAGGATTTTTATGGTGTTGTGACTTATATTTAAGTCTTTTATCCATCTTGAGTTTATTTTTGTGCATGGTGTCAACTGATGATCCAATTTCAATTGTTTGCATGTAGCCATCCAGCTCTCCCAACACCATTTGTTGAAGAGGCTATTATTGCTCCATTTTATGCTTCTGCCCCCTTTGTCAAATAATAGTTGTCCATATAGACCTGGGCTTATTTCTGGGCTCTCTATTCCGTTCCACTGGTCTATGGGTCTGTTCTTGTGCCAGTACCAGATTGTTTTGAGTATAGTGGCTTTGTAGTAGAGTTTGATGTCCGGTATTGTGATCCCTCCTACGTTGTGTTTCTTTCTCAAAATTACTGCGGCTATTCAGGGTTGTTTATGGTTCCATATAAATTTTTGAAATGTCTGTTCTATTTCTGTGAAATACGTCATTGGTATCTGAATAGGGATTGCGTTGAATCTATAAATTGCTTTGGGTAGTATGGACATTTTGATGATATTAATTCTTCCAATCCATGAGCACGGTATATGCTTCCATTTATTTGTGTCTT